AGAGCAATGAGGACAGAGGCTGAGGAAGGCAAGCTGCCCACCGGGCGAAGGATGTGGGTGGCCGCTAGGAGCTGGAAAGGGCAAGGAAACACCTATCTCAGGAGTCCCGGGAGGAGTCAGCCTACACGTCCGGGACTGTCAGAGGGTAAACTCGTGTTGCTTCAGCCTGACGAGTTACGGCGCCGGTGGGACCCAGTCACAACCTGGAAATGGACGGCCACCCACCACCGTGGTTGGGAGCTGGAGCCACATGGCCAACTGGGGTTCGAATCGCAGCCCTGCAGCCCGGGACACACCGGATGGGGACACCCTGGATGTGCAGTACAGGGCGGGGAGGGGGAGGAGACGGGACTGCAGCAGGGTGCCTTCCCTCTCCCACTCCTTTTCTGTTTCTCTCTCTGGCTGGCAAGCACACGTGTCCTTTGACGATCTTTAAAGTAAGGAACAGAAACAGACACACCCAGAAGCCCCAAAAAACATGCAGGAGGGGGAGCGGGCAGAACAGACCCTGGAGGCTCGACAGTGACGGGGCTGTGTCCATGCCACGGGCCCCACTCACCGAGCAGAAGCAGACACTGCCTCAGCCCTCCAGGAGGCAAGAGAGCCCGTGGCAGAGCCCAGAGTGGGCACCTGCTGGTGTAAAGTCCAAAGGCAAAAGTGGCCATACTGCAGATGCCCAGCTGGTCCTGACAGGGCTTCTGGCCGGGGCCATGTCAACACGCAGAGCGGACGGGTTCTGCCCCTTCCTCGGGCGTCTCGGTCTGAACATGGTTTGCACGTAAGTCGGTGGCACAGAGGGTGAGGGGCTGGTGCCCACACGACCCACCACGCGGTCTGAGTCCCGATACGTGTGAGTGCGTGCCCAAAACCCCCAAAAGGAAGACGGAGGAGGGAGGGCTGCAGCTGGCCGTCTCCCGGGGACGGCGCGCTCGTGTGTGCTCTCTCTCTAGTGAGTGCACATGCCCTACAACAAAACTAAAAAATGAAAAAAAAAAAAAAGGTTGAACAAAGAGCTATCAAAATTTTCTTTTTTTAAAAAAAATTATTTTATTTTATTTACTTATTCATTTATTTTAATTTGACCAGAGAGAGAAAGAGAAAGAGTGAGTGAGAAGGCAGATCACCAGGTCCGAGACTCCAACCGTGTCCACATGGGAGTGTCCTGCGCCTTAGCCACCATGCCACCTGCTGCCCCATCGGTTTTCAAAAGAACAGTTGGTGTTCCAGCCCCACCACACCCAAGTGCACTGGCTATGAGCCCAGGCCCCGTCCCAGCTGTGGGGCTTCATCCCTGCAGAACTAGGTCCACGAGAGTGTGGTTGGGTCAGAGCTTGCCTCCAGCTTCGGCCAGAGCAAAAGTGCAGTCACCTCATCAGAGCCTTCCCAGCTGCTCTGGGCTCGCCACAGCCTCCCTCTGCGGCCTGGCCCAAGGGAGACCGTGCCCACGACAGGGCCACACAGCAATGGGGCCACAGGTGCCAGCGCAACGCCCCCAGTCCCCAGAAGGAATGGTCTCTCTCCCTCTCTCTTTCTCTGTCTCTCCAGCAAGCACATGTGCCCTCTCACACACACACAATTTTTTTAATTATTTAATTTTATTTATTCATTCCTTTATTTTTAAAATTATTTACTTAATTTTACTTATTATTGTTATTATTTTTTAATTTGACCAGAAAGAGAAAAAAGGAGGGAGAGAGATAAAGGGAGAATGAGAAAGCAAGCCTCCAGGTCCAAGAGTCAAACATGGCTGGCGTATGGGAGTCCGGTGCCTCGACCACCCCACCACCTACGGGCCCCGTATTCACTCACTTATTGTAATTCGAGCAGAGAAAGAGGGAAAGTGAGAAACCAAGCCACCAGGTCCAGGACTCGAACTGTGGTCAGCCATGTTGGCGTGTCCAGTGCCTTAACCACCAAGCGACCTGCTGGCTCCATCACAAAGATTTTTTAAAACGTGTTTAAGGACCAGCAGATGGCACAGTGGTTAAGGTGCTGGACTCCCACGTGGCTGACCACAGTTCAAATCCCAGACCCAGGGGCCGGCAAGTGGCATGGTGGTTAAAGGCGCTGGACTCCCACATGGCCAACCGCGGTTCAAGTCTCGGACCTGGTAGCTTGCTTTCTCACTTCCTCTCTCTCTCTCTGTCTCTCTCTGGTCAAACTGGAAAATAATAATGATAATAATAATAAATAAATTTAAATAAAATAATTCTTAAAAAAAAAAAAATCCCAGACCCAGTGGTTGAAACACATGGGGCACTTGTGCCTAAATCCTGACAGGACCATGGAGAAGGGACAGGGTGTGGTCAGTGCCCCGGGGCTGATTTCTCACTTTCTGTCTTTCTGGCAAGTGTATGTGCTTTGTAGCAAAAATCTCTCAAGAAAAGAATATAAATATGTTTGGTCTTTTGTTTCAAAAAAGCACTCTTAAAAGCTGGTGGGTGCCATGGTCACCATGAGCCAAGGTGGAGCAGAGGGGACAAGTTAGGTGGTCCCTGGTGCAGAGGGGACAAGTTAGGTGGTCCCTGGTGCAGAGGGGACAAGTTAGGTGGTCCCTGGTGCAGAGGGGACAAGTTAGGTGGTCCCTGGTGCAGAGGGGACAAGTTAGGTGGTCCCTGGAGCAGAGGGGACAAGTTAGGTGGCCCCTGGTACAGAGGGGACAAGTTAGGTGGTCCCTGGAGCAGAGGGGACAAGTTAGGTGGTCCCTGGAGCAGAGGGGACAAGTTAGGTGGTCCCTGGAGCAGAGGGGACAAGTTAGGTGGTCCCTGGTGCAGAGGGGACAAGTTAGGTGGTCCCTGGTGCAGAGGGGACAAGTTAGGTGGTCCCTGGTGCAGAGGGGACAAGTTAGGTGGTCCCTGGTGCAGAGGGGACAAGTTAGGTGGCCCCTGGAGCAGAGGGGACAAGTTAGGTGGCCCCTGGAGCAGAGGGGACAAGTTAGGTGGCCCCTGGAGCAGAGGGGACAAGTTAGGTGGTCCCTGGTGCAGAGGGGACAAGTTAGGTGGCCCCTGGCAGAGGCTGGAAGGTGAGCATTGGGGCTAAAGGCTCCACGTGGCCACAGAAACCACCTGACCCATCATCCTGGAGAGGGACTCTCCCTCCTGAACACGGCTGAGGAATAAACACACTGTTCTTCTCTAAGATGCTATAAGCCTGCAATGAAAACAAACTAACCTCCACTTGGGGTATGACTCACGCTTCCAGACCCCAGCCTGTGGACCAGGAGGGGCAGAGGCTTGGGAACGGCAGGCTACCATGGCGTGGGCAGAGCCGTCCTACGCACAAGCCAACACCTCACGTCCGCGACTCGGCAGCTCAGAATAACCTACCAGGAGCCTTTCGCAGTTGCCGTGGTAACGCACGGGCTTTAAGATGCTAACAGAGGAACGCAGCAGAAATCACTTGTGGGACTCAAACACCTTCTGCCTGACGCCTGCACTGGGAGCAGCCAGCCCACAGGCTCTGGGTGTGTCACTCACGGGTAGCCAGCACCCACACTGTGGCGTCCTGGGACAGCTGGTGGCCTGCAGCCCATGCCCGTCGGGTCGAGCCGTCACCAGGCCCTGCTGCCCTTGCATAGTGGTCAGGCACAGTGAAGTGCCGACAGGTTAGGAGTGGGCCCGGCCCTCTGCTGAGGACAGCCGCAGGGAGACACCACCTGCCTGTCCACTCAGGGGCTCGACACCCTTACCTCGTTCAGTTAACGGTTCTGGAGGGCTGCTCTCTCGAGCCTGGGGACGTCTGGACACACTTCGGTTCTCACGACCTGGGGCCAGTGCTACCAGCACCGGGGGGGCAGGCTGCCAAGGAGAGAACCCAACTTGCAGTGGACACACAACGTGGCTCCTGCAAGGGCCCAGCCAGAGCCTGGGCAGGGCAGGCACAGCAGCTGCAGGACAGTGGCCAGTTACGGCGTGTCTGAGCGGAGCGTGGTTACCGGGATGAACACGGGGGCTGCTGCAGCTCTGGGAATCCGCTCCTGCTGGCCACGCAGTGACGGGCACTTAGAGACGGCCGAGTGCAAAATCCACGTCACCCGTGCTTCGCCGCAGACCTATAGGCCACGGTCTCTCGAGGCCTGGCTTCACCACGCTCGAAGCTCCTCGGGTTCTTTCTGTGGGGCTCACTCCCACCCGCAGGGAGGAGCAGCCCCTCTGTGGGGCCTGCCAGCCCTGCCCGGGAGCACTTACAGGATGCGAAGCAGGCTGCCCACCCTCAGCACACCCAAGCACTGGTGACACGGTTCAGGCCACAGAACCCGAATCTCAGCTGCTGGGATGCCTCCCTCTGCGAGACTGGGCGGTGAGGCAGGGCAGAGGCTCAGCTGGACCCCGTTGTGACTGTGCATCCCCTGGGACACGTGACATTCGTCACCCACCTGTCTGGGAGGCACATGGAACAACTCTTCAGGCTGTGAGTTTTTGCGAAGCTCGCCGGCGCCCCGGCACCGACCCTCACAGGGATGATGTGGGAGCTCGTGGCCCGCAGCTCAGCCTGTGAGCAGCACCCGTGAGTCTGCATGGTCGTACCAGCAGCGCCTGCGGCCCCTCCTTGCTCGGAGGCTGTTCACCCTGGCCAAGCCGAGGTGGCCCACGGAGGACGAAGCACCCATGGGATATTCCGGTTTAAACTTACTGGGACTGACCCACAGCGGCCGTCTGTGGGGACAGAGGACCTGAGCCGAGGTCAGGCTGGCGGCCAGCTTAGCTACCCAAGTGCTGCCCGTGGGAGGGAAGGCTGCCCTGCATGCCAGACCCACACCCATCACCAGGGAGCTGCCTCCAGGGTGTGCCCTATTCCCACGACAGACCCTCAGCTCAGCCCCTCAGCTCTGCAGTGGCCTCTACGTGGGGGTGATGCCGGCCACACCAACTTCCTGTGAAGAGAGGTGACCACAGGAAGCCACCAGTGAGAGCCTGGACACGTGTCGTGTCACCAACACAACGCCACTAAGCCCGCGACACGGAGCGCGGAGCCCCGCCCCGAGCGCAGGAAAGGCTTACTTGAGTCGCGGCCACTGAACGGCCACGCCGACGTGGGGAGGAAGGACGGCACTGGGGAGCTGGCCCGGCTGCCCGCCCCCGCCCGCTGCGTGATGTGCCGGACGGTCTCCTTGTTCTTCCGGTTCTTCCTCCGGCCCGTGGGCTGCCAGCCGGCCCCCGCGCCCTGCTCAGGAAAAGTGCCCTGGGCTGCCCCGTCCTTGGCAGAAGGCGGCTCGCTCCCTCCGTAGTGGGACGGTGAGACCTGCTCCTCCTTGATGTGCAGTGCCCCGCAGGCCCCGTCCCCGGGCCACAGGGGCTGCGGGGAGGCATCCCCGGGGCCGTCCTTGGGCTCCTGCTCCTCCCTGCTGTAGGCGCTTCCTCCCTCATGGCAGCTGGCAATGGCTGAGTCCCCGGAGGAGTTGGTGGGACTCGCTCGCCGCGCCAGCCACGGGGAGATGCTCCTTCCGGCCATCACAGCCGAGAGCAGGGCCTCCGTGCTGCCGCTGGCCGGGGCCCCCACCTCGAGCTCGGGGAGCCCGTCTGCGGCGTCCGCCTTGATGTTGATGTCCAGCGCGGCCTTGATGAAGTCGTGGCATGCTTGCACGATGTCCGTCATCTGCAGGAAGCTGGCGGCAGACATCACTTCGATGACGTTCCTGCTGGTGAGCGCCAGGTGGGCAGAGTACATGAAGTCGATGATGGCCTTGAAGCCCTGGGCCGTGACAATGTCCAGGTGGGTGACCGTGGCCTGCTCAGACGTCTTCTGCACCTGGCAGTAGAGGGTCTTGAAGTAGCGGCTGCTGCCGAGCAGGACGTTCTTGTGGGCCTTGAACACCTTGCCCTCGACGACCACACACACGTCACACAGGACGCCGTGCTGCCGCTGTTCGTCAAGCTCCCGCAGCAGGTGCCGGTAGTGGGAGGCGATTTCCATGTCTTCCTTCCGGTCGTTCATCTGGGAGCCGCCGCTGCCTCTTCTACGAACTCTGCAGGGCAAGAAGGACAGAGTCAGCCATACGGTCCAGGCAGACGGCTGCGGGGAGGCCTGGGTTGGCCGCGCTGCACACCCAGCAGCCGTGCACGGCAAGGAGACCAGGCATGCGAGGGCAGCAGGCGTCGGAGGGTCTGGCCTGGGAGGGAATGCCGGAGCCCAGCTCCTGTGCTCTGGGTGAACCACAGCCACACGGACACGGAGTCTGGCTCATACAGCACCAGTTCCCCTGACAGACCACCACCACTGGCCAAAACAAATGCCCAGTCCTGGCCTGCACCCCACGCACATCTCCACGCGGGCCAGCTCTGTGGCGTGGTGGTCACAGCAGCCGGATCCTTCGTGGCTGACGGCGGTGTGGGTCCAGCCCAGCAGCTCGAGAAACACATCAGGCGTGCGCGCCCAGACGGGGAAGGGAATGCAGCATGGCCCATTCCCTGTGGGGGGTGCTTTCTCCTCTCCCTTTCTCTGGTGAGCACATATCCTAACAAAGTAATTAAAAGTTAAAATTTTAAAAATGAGACTTCCACACAAAAAGCCCACCAATAAGGACTTGCAGCAGGTGAATCGATGTCCCATATTTAGCCCTGAAATTTCCCAAAAATCTGAGCTCAGACCAACTCAGGAAGGGGACTCGCCTGCATCGGGTCCCTGCCCCACCCTGGGCACAGAGGGGGGGTCCCGGAGCTCCTGAGAGACGGTGCCCAGGACCGTGCAGTGTGTGGGCTGGAGAATGACAACCTCCTGGGCCACCCTGCCCCGAACTCAGAGCCAGAAAAGACTCAGAATTGCTCCTGGATCCCACCCAGCTGGCGCCCAGTGACCGGCATCACCCAGAGCTGCCATGGCTCTGCACTGGCGCGGCCACCACAGGGAACGTGCGCTTGTAGTTCTGGGGCCGAGAGTCTGAAGCGAGGGCGCTGGCTGCTCAGGGGTCATCCCTGCCCCGGCCGTCTCCGGCGTTCCCAGCAGACGCACCGTGCTGTCCCCTGCAAGTGCATGCACAAGGGCCTGGCCGTGCGGGACAATCTGCCTAGGAACCTGCCATGGCTGTGACGCCCACAGGACCTTCGGCTTACTTTCTTTCTTTTACATCTTCTTGCTGTAGGGCACGTGCATCCGCTGGAGAGACGCAGAGAGGCAAAGCGAGAAACCACCTCCCAGAGGCGGTCAGGCTGCAATCCCTGCCCCTCTCAGGAGCCTGGGCAGGGCACGGAGGCACACACGCCGTGTGTCCTCCTTTTCTTTCCTTTTTTTTTTAAAGTAACATCTAGTTTATTTAACTTCTCCCTTCTTCTCTCCATTCTTTGGTTTTGTTTCATTTGCTAGGTTTCTGCCATAGGGCACATGCGCTCGCTGGAGAGGAGACAGAGAGAGAGAAATTGAGAAATCACCCCCCGGGGGATGGCCACACCACAGTCCCTTCTTCTCCAGTCTCTTCCTGGGATTTTGCACACGCATGCACACCCAGTGTGATTTTCAAGCCAGCAGGTCCGGGATGCAAACTGCAGTCGGCCACGTGGGATCCAGCCGCCTTACCCTGCACGCCACCTGCTGATCCTCTGGTGACCTTATTATTCCCAAATAAGGTCCCATTCTAAGGTCCTTGGGCTAGACTCTCCACAGGAGAATCTGGGTGCTCATGTGCCCCCCACACTGCCCAAGAACTTGGCCTTCTCTGCCGACCTCCACCTCCGGGTGGACTCACCAAGGTAGCGGCGCTCAGCTAAGTGCACAGTGCGCCAGCAGGAAGCCAGGCTGCGCACGGGCGGTCCCAAACTGCCCCTTGGGGTGGGCGGAGGGAGGGGCTCCGGGCACCTTCACTGCCCCAGCCAGTCCCTACAGACAGCACCTGACTCGGCTTCAGAGCGCCCAGGAGCAGCCCTCACTGTGTCCTCTCACAGGCTTCTGGCCCCGCTTCCCGTCAGGCTGCAAGCTCCCAGCCACCACCCTGCAGCCTCCCTTGCAGCTGGCCCCCATGGCAGCTCCACATCAGCCCGGATGGCAGGCTGAGGTGGACACGCTACTTCTGTGGGCTCAGCCACCATGTGCAATGATCGCAGAGCATCCCAGCATCCCCTCCTCACCGTGGACGGGACAGGGAGCATTCAGGCTGCAGGGAAGGAGCCACACCAGCCGAGCCGGCATGGCAGGGCGGAACCAGTGGTGCCCTCACCACTGTAGGCAGGAAGAGGGTGCCGGCAGAAAGCCCCCAGAGGCTTACCCTTCACACAGGGTTCAGGGCATTCGATGGCCTACATGGAGCGGGGCACCCAACACACCCACCATTTAACCCTGACACCCTGGCTTGACGCCTGCAGTCCTCAAGTGAGCCTGCTCCTGGAGCAGGGCGCTCAGGGCTTTGTCTTTAGTTTTTGCTAGAGGTCATGTAACTTACTGGAGAGACGTAGACAGAGACACAGAGAGAGAGGGAAAGTGAGAAGGCAAGCCACCAGTCTGGGACTAGAACCACAGTCGGCCATGTGGGAGTCCAGTGCCCTTAACAATCATGCCACCTGCCAGCCCCCGGTTTTCTTTTTTTTACAGAAGTATTTTCTATTTAACTTTATTTATTTTGCTTTTATTTTATTTATTTTAATTTGATCAGAGAGGGACAGATTTAGAGAGAGCAAGAGAGAGAGGGAAAGTGAGAAAGCAAGCTGCCAGGTCCAAGACTTGAACCGCAGTCAGCCATGTGGGAGTGCAGTGCCCTCAATCACCATGGTACATACTGGCCCCAGTGTGGGTCTGGGCTCAAACCACACAGGCCGCCGTGTGGCATTAAGCCGCCTGAGCCAGGACTCCACCAGCAGGCCCAGGAGCTGCGTGTCCTATCATTCAATTTCCCTGTGTAAATAAGAAGTCTCTCTCTCTTTTTTTTTTTTGCTAGAGGGCACATGCATTCACCAGAGAGACAGACAGGAAGCAAGAAATGACCTCCTAGCGGGGATGGGCACACTGCAGTCCCTACATTCCACTCTCAGGATCTTGGGCATGCACATACCTAAGATCATGCACATGCACCCGGGTCTGGGACTCGAACCGCAGTTGATTACATGGAGTCCAGCAACAGAACAATTACGCCATCTACTGGTCCCAAGGAGTCTCTTCACTTAAGGAAAACAGACCCCTTAAAGATCAGGAAGAACAGGGCCAACAGGTGGCATGGTGATTAGGGCACTGGACTCCCACATAGAAGACTGTGGTTCAAATCCCAAAACCACTCGATACCAGTGCATGTGTGTGCATGTCCAAGATCCCGAGAGGAAATTGGAGGAGAAGGGATGGTGACGTGGCCATTCCTCACAGGGGTGCTGTCTCGCTTTCTCTCTGTTTGTTTCTCTGGCAAGCACACGTGCTCTACAACAAAAATCCAAATTAAATACATAAAATCAGTTTGTACTGGGATCAGCAGTTAGTGTAATGGCTATGTCGCTGGACTCCCACGTAGTCGACTGTGGTTCGAGTCCCGGACCCGGCGGCTTAAACTCACGCCGGGCACTTGTGCGTGCGTGCCCAAGATCCCAAGAAGAGAATGGAGGAGAATGGAGGAGAAGGGACTGCGGCGTGGCCATCCCCCCTGAGGGGTGATTTCTCGCTCTCTGTCTCTCTGTCTCTCACTGTCTGTCTGGCGAGCGCACGCGCCCTATTGCGAAAACCTCTCAAAAAAAAATATATATATATATATCAGTTTGTACTTACAAAGGTTTTCCAGTAAGAACAAAAGTAAAGCTTTCATTTGGGGAAAAAGGTTGTACACTATAAAGAACAAATGAAACCACCTTTCCAAAGGCTCTGTCTGCAGCAGAAACACCCAGGAGGACGGGACCCCCAGCAGAGCAGCTCCAGGAGGGCATTAGCCTCGGATTCCACCCGCCCTCCGTATCAACGCCACACCTCCCCGTGGCAGAGGCCTGGGCACCTCACACTGGCTTCCCAGCTGCTGCCTAGCAGGGGACACCCCAAACAGCACCCTGCGTGACGTCGCGTGGGGCTCTCCTGCAGTGGCTCCGCCACAAGGGCCCTGTGGGTAAGCGTGCCTGTGGCCTTTCCTGTGACAGCGGTGTGGGCCTGCCCCATCAAACGGACACTCCGGCAGACAGGGCACGTGCGGGCGCCTCTCAACCACCTGTGCTTCACGCGGGCCAAGGCCACGTGTGGCACGTGGAGCGTGCGGCAGTGAGGGGAGGAGGGGGTCCGCTCTACACTGACGCCAGACCGTACAGAAACGGTGCACCGTCCCCGCCGTCTCCCCAGTCGTCCAGAGCCTGTTCTATTTACAGCTCCCTCATCTCAGGATCTTCAGACACTCACCGCACCAGCCTTCAGCACGACCGCTGGGCACGCCCAGGGGATCGGGGCACGTGGGCTGGGCAGCTGCACAGCCAGGCACTCGGTGGATGGCCCTCCGCCCGCCCTTGGGCCAGCAGCACACCAGATCCTTCCGTGTGGCTTCAAATGCACGGGCCCCGTACTGGGAAGGGCGTCTGCGTGCAACTTAGGAAGAGGAAGCCAAGCCTGCGAGGGCACACTGCAGCCTGGAACCCAGCGTGCAGCCTGACCACAGCAGCACCACGGTGGACACCACGAGGCTGAGACACAGGGTTGAGACGGTGCGCACTGTCTGGGAGAGGAGGGTGCAAACTGGCCGGGCCCAGGCGCCGTGGGGGACAGCCACGCCTGTGCCAGCTGCAGGGACCCCGCCGCATATCTGCCCAGCCACACACAGACCCATTGGTCAAGCTGGTGCCGCCATCCCGCCTGGGTCAGGTGGTGCTGAGGGGGTGGACGTCGCCAGGTGCTCAGCCTTCTGGTCACAGCCACACCGGAAGCAGGGAACACGCCGAACCTTCTCCACTGATAGCGGGAGTAAAGGTAGCGGCCACGAAACTGCCCAGAATATGAGCAGAAGCCACGTTGCCGAAGGCGGCCATGCGCCACCCACCCTCACTCCTCAGTGAGTGCTGAAGTCTTGTGGGTGAAGGCCACAGAAGC